CACACAAAGTGGGATTGTCACAGCTGCTCTTTGCGATGACACTTGCTTTGGGAGATTCTGAAAGAATTTGGGTGGGGGAATTTGGGTGGGGTTTGGAAAAAAGAAAAAAATAAAATGAAACGGAAAGAAAAGGTTTAGGATAACAAAAATTTTAAGGTGATAAAGTTGGGATTCAATTGGGAGGGAGAGACTATGGAGGGGGTGATGTATTCAAATTTGGGATGGACGTGTCAGGGGAGGGGTTAGAAGGATAGGTAAATCATAGAATTGATAAGGAAAAGGTGATTGGTGCACTTAGGAGTCTGTGGAGACAAAGAACTTTGCCCTTTGGAGCAAAGGGGGGAAATGTATGAGAGTAATTTTTACCAAAACTCTTATATGGGTGTAACAGGGTGATGAATTTTCAGCGGGGAAAGGCTGGAGGCAGGGGAGATGCAGTCGGGGCAAGTGGGGTGTGAAACAGTGGAACCCAGGCATAGGATTTTTAATCCGGCAAAGGGCTCTTTGTTATGCAAATGGTCGGATGCGAATGAATTTCCCCATAAAAAATAATAAAATCAAATTAATTCGTGCAAGACCCCCAAAAAAGTAGAAAAAAAAAAATTCCCCACATGAAATGTTAATTTTAATACCACAAACTAAAAAAGGCAGCAAAATTTTACATGACACTTACTTTTATTGAAGACTGGTGTATTGGGAGGGGAGAGGGGGAGATTGTGTTAGTGTTTAAAAGGGGGAACCCCCTTTCCATTAAGACTTGTGTCGAGTCCTTTTCTGGGTTACTTCCCTTCTCTTTTAATGCCACTAGGGCCAGCTTCAAGTCACTGGGCTTTTTTTCGCACAACAACGCCAAGTGGGCCCGTACCTCTCGTTTTCCCTTTTGACTTCCCTAAAGTTTTTCACAAAATTGCAGTGTACAGGGTTCCAACAAAAGGGTTCAATAGCTGGTGAGGGGGATTTTCATCCATGAAGGTTTGCACTTTTAAGCACTTTGCACAATTTCCTTAAACTTTTTAGTAGGGGAACTTCTTCAATTTCTCCCCTCCCCTCCTCTGAACCATTTTTCCCCAGGTCGGGCCCTTGCGTTGAAGTTGATCTAGCAGCTCATCATGGTAGTTCTTCATTTTCCTCCTCCCCCCAACTCTTTCCCCACCTCCCCACTAAACCCCCAACCCCAAGGGCTTTCCCAAAGCCCAAAGGATTCCTCAACTGGCATAACCCTCAGGTTACCTCAAAACCCCTTTAAAAAACCCTTTGTCTACACATTCTGGCCCCCAAATTTTTTTCCAAGCAATTCAAGGTCTTCTTAGCACTCTCCCCCCAAGCCTTCCTAAAGGTTTTACACAATTTAGGATATTAAAATCTCTCTCCAAAACTCTCTTAGATCATTGAGTTTCTGAGGGCCTACAAAGCACCTTTTAGAGCTTTTTTTACAGTTTTTTGAAGTTTGCAATAACCTCTGTCCATGGGCTGCAAGAGGAGGGTATTAGGGGGCAAAAACTCACCTTAATGAATTTCATCTCCCCCCATAAATCGCCTGGGCCCCGTCTGTAGGGTACCAGGGGGGTTTTCCAACCCAGGAGGCACTTAAAATTCAATTTTTTTCATTTGGTAACTTTCACATTGGGGGGGAAAAGCATGGTGAACCCGTCAAAAAAAAGTCCCAGGACCCAGCCTTTCTGTTTGCCCTCCACAGCACACACAAATTTTCCTTAGGACATTCTTTTTCCTGAACGGGCTGGGAGTTTCAGAGTGATACACTAAAAAGGCTTCACTTTGCAAACACCAGTAGCATTTAACACATAAACAAAGTAAGCCGCTTTCCCAAGGCTTATGTCCTGGGATCCCTTTTCCTCCTCATAATGTAGTTCCTGCTTGGCATTTTTTTTCCAAAACAGCCGTTTCATCACAATTAAACACTTGTTCAGTTTCAGTCCTTCACTTCTATCTCCCCTTGAATTCCGCACATTTTTTTCAGCTGTTTTTGGGGTCCGAACTGGCACCTCACCATCCTTATCACAAAAATGTGCCCTCCCTTCTTAAACTCTCAAAACCCCCCTTTTGCGGCCCTTAAATTCACTCACATCACACTAGTTGCAGGCTTTTTTTTAATTAAATCCTCATGCAACTTCCACCTTTTCGCTTAGTCGCTTGAGAAACGCTATCTCCTGCTAGCTGTTTTTCATTTATCCACACCATAAAAGTCTCTCACATCTTCCACACTTTCACTCTTTCGAAAACACAGTTAAACCTTTGGCAAGAACACTTCCTTGATTGCCCCTTTTTTGCCCACAATAGTACGATGGTTTTTTGGGGTTTTGTACAACCTCCCGGGCGGCGACACCACTCCACTTTTATACTTATCAAAGATCTCTTCTTCATCTCATTGTAAATTTTCACCCTTATTGCTGTAGGGGGTTGGGACTAGAAGCTTTCTTTGGGGCCCCCTGTCACTTATTTGGGAGATAAAAAACACCAAAAACACTGAAAAATACAAAGTCCGATTTTATGTTTGGGTTTACCGCGGAGGGAGGCGGTAAACAAGGGCCCCCACGGGACATTGAGGCTGGGTAAGGGGGCACTTTTACGCGTCCGGACGAAGAGCGGTGGCGGGTTTTTTGACGGATTCGGGGCAAATTTTTTTGGGGGATAAAAGCGAGCGTATGCGGATTGAAAAGTTATGTGATGGGACGGGAAGCGGGGGCACTGTTTTTGCAGAGAATTCTAGTTTGGAAAATTGGAGGAGTGCGGGATTATCAAAACGTTTTTTCCAAGGGCTGAGGAAGGGTTTTTGAGGTGGTTTTACTGTAGAGAAATGGGGCGAAAAAGAAAGACTTCAAATGTATCAGGTCTGTGTGGAAGGAAGGGGGGGTAGGGGGCGGCCTAGGAAAGGTTGGGGGAGGGGGTAAAGGGGGTTTTTTTGGGGCAAAAGGGGGTTGGACTTCCACAGGCGTGCATGACGTTTTGAAGGATTTAATGGAGACAATGGTTTTTTAAAACTTGACGTGCGTTGGGTGTGAGCAAAAAATAAAAATTTTTGAAGGGGGTTTAGGGAAACCGGAGGCGACTTGAGTCCTGGAGATGGAAGTACAGTGCCTGCACCTGAAGGAGGGGGGTTTTAAAGTTGCAGTTTGAAACTGTATGTAAAGCACCCTTTTGGGAAGACATGAGGGGGTGAAGATGGTGAAAGTTTTTCTTTTTCGGCCACCCTCCTTGTGGAATCGGCCCGTGTGATAATAAAAAAAAAAAATAAAATATTTATTTGTCATCGTTTTCGTATGTATTCTATATTTAATCTTTAAAAAAAATAGTTTTTTTCAATTTTTTGGGGTCTGAAACGGATAAAAGGATTTCCCCTTTTTTCTTAGGGAAAATTTAATTT